CTCAAACAAAAACTAGGCAGTTACTTTGTAAGTGGCTTTTACTATTTCTTAAGTAAAATTGGTAAATTAAACTCAGGTCTACTGGCACATAAAATCACTAGCAGCAATGATCAAGGCATGCAAACTGAGATGCGTTTTACAATAAATTATGAATAAAACATTGTTAAATTAAAACCCTTTGAGTATTGCATTTTAATTATGCACAAATTTGCATTAACTGACTAAAAGTGTTTACAGTTTACTTGCACTATACCACTGATTTAATTCCACTAAAAAATTTAATGAGACTTTTTTTGTGCACTCAGCTAGATTTGAATAACTACAGTTGCACCTAGTGTTGCTGATTGGTACTGCAAGGAACCAGTAGAAAATCTCAGTAAGGTGGCATTTCTATCTATATAATTTTAGTAACTCCACTCACTTCTGAACTTGTTCTGGTGAGTACTATTTGCAAGAACAAAGGAATTTTTTTCAACACAGCAGAATGCAGGTGCAATTTCTAGGCTATTTTTTAAATTCTGACATTCAATAAGAGCTATCTGAACTGTATCCCTATAGAGGAAGCTGAATAGTGCCTTTATTTTTGTATTAGTCCTTATTGTAGTGACTGAATGTTAAAAGTAATATGAATACAACTGTGTACTTTTTATATGTTTATCAAAAAGACTGTGCAGAAAGTTTGATTATAAACATACCAAGTATTTTGTAAAATTCATTCTCTTATTAAATAAGCCATTTTGTTTTTTTTTCTAAAGATTTTAATTGACAGTATTAGAATATTCCAATACTACCCTAAAGAGAGTTTCATCTTAAGCCATCTTAAAGTAGACAACTTATGTTTGTAGAGCCACGTATTTGATTTTCTCTAGATATTTATGCAATTATGAAAACAAAAGAGCAGAAGTACTGTTTTGCACTAGACAGCACATGTTGATGGCAGTGAATAATTTAGCCTAAGTCTATTGAGGTTTCTATAACAAAGTCATTTCTGTCAAGTATGCAAGTAAGTATTAAAATTAAAACCATTTTCTACAACACAATCAACTACTTAGATGTATAGAATATTTTCAGTGGACTACTTAAATTATCTAAAAAGCTTTCTTCTCATCCTTACAATGCTCAAAGGGTTAATGCAAAGCATTACATTAAATTAATTTTCTAATACTAGAACTAAGCACTGTGTATTTATGCTTCTATTCCAGTTTTTTATTTTCTTTTTAATCACCGAATTCACAAAGATACTAGAATTCCATTCACTGACTTGTTTTTAAACCATATACATGGAAGTTTTCCTGTTCTACAGAGACAAGGACCCAATTTTCAGAAATTTGTACTGATCTCTCAAATGAAAGTTTTAAACTCTGAATTCACTGTCATATGAAGTACCAAAAATACTTATATTATTTAAAAAAATATTTTTTTTTACCTTTTTTCATGGGTATAAAAGGTTATTTTATTTTGTAAAACCTCTCTGTAAATTAAATTAGATTGCAATGTAGCTCTAACTAATATAAATGTTTTTCTAAACAATGCTGATGTCATTTGGTGAGAACCACAAAGATATCAGATAAGGTCTCATATGGAAAATAATTTGAACAAAAGCAGTGTATCAGACATTTAAAAATCCTTCATTTTAAATTGAATTATTTTATAGACCTATACATTCCTGAATGACAGTACACCAGCACATTATTTTACACATTTGTGAACTAAAGGCAGTAATGCTGTACAACATCGTTTTGTAAGTAAGCAATTTAAATAATATTCTCCAAATTTTTTAATGGAACATTAAAAAAAAAGGTGCACAAAGCATGCTACAATACAACAGTAAAACACAGAAATAGGTAACTGAAAAGAGGAAAAAACCCTTAAAACTGTTTTGCAATGGGAAATATGAAAATGTACCATCATTTTTTCAAAAATATAAAACTTGTGAAAATTGGGTCCTGTGTTTTTCAAAAGTAGTTCAACAATACCCATTCCTCCACACTGTTCACTGAGTTATTTGTGCTAATGGAGGAAATGTATCTAAAATAAATAATTTGGATTCCATGTCAAGATCAGGTAAAATTCACAAATTATATGAGCTCTTATCTTATAATATCTAGCCTGCGGATACTTGCTACAGCTCTTTAGAGCACTAAAAGAGTTAAGTAGGCTTCAGAGTTGATATGGCAATCCAGCCACATGCTACACACTACATAATTTGGACTGAGGTATTCATATCTGTTTTTAAATCATTAACAGTATCCATCTATTAACAAATAGCAAGAGTGTGCAAATTGTTTCATATGTATATGTTTGATTAAAATTCCAGTAAATGTAAAACACAAAATTCTCAAACTTGTAAGTATACACAGCAGCTTACAGCAACTTAATTATTGTAAAAATCTGGTAAAAACATGGGGAAAGTATTGTTTAAAAGTTTGAGAGAATAATCAATTGATAAGCATAGAAATACAAACTCAATTTAGTTATCTGAAGCTGGGATAGTTCTAATTTGTTTTGATAACTGCTATTAGAATCCATGAAATACATTCCACCTTTGTATTAATGTTTTTTGTTTTCTTTTTGCACTACATGAACAGTGAACAACTGGGTAGGACTAGGGAGCTGAATCAAGAGATATTCAGGTCCCACCTCGTCTTAGCAATCTAGATTTACATGTGACAATCATACTTCTCTCTTAGCAACAATTCCAACATTATACCAATAAAGGATAATGATGATAAAACAGATAAGGTTTGTTAACACAAAAGGTGAAACCAGGTAATACAGAACATCAGTACTATAGCATAAAAACCCTATGTTAAAAATGAAAGAGTTGAATATTTCTCTTTTACTTGTTAAAAATCTTATAATACACAATGAGGGGGAGTAAATATTTATCACAAGTTAGTTTTTAGGACTTTTGATGAAGGGTGCTGATTTTTAAGGAAAAAAATCAGGACACTGATATTTGGGGGAACAAAATCTATAATGAGATTCAATGCACAGGTAAATTTAGACATAAATGAACATAAACCTCATTTGCATTCTTTGCTGAAATAAAAACCATCTGCTGACATCAGTAGGAATTATGCCTACATAGAATGGAGCAGGATGGGTTGGCCTCCAAATTGTGCTAAGCAATTTAAAACTAATTTTTGCACCAAAAAATGTTAGGACATCTTAGTTAATCTGTACCTATTCTTGGAGCATATGAAAGCTCTAGCAAACTTGTTTGCTAAAAACACACTGTTCATTTCACATGCTGTTCACCCATTTGGCATATACAACTTAAAAAAATAAAATAAAAATCCACAGACACACTAGATAAAATTAAAGGCTCCCTAATAATTTTATACAGTCCTTTCTATCAAATTGAATTTTTTTGTTCTCTCTTTCACTTTTTTGCTCATTTATTTATTTATTTCCACTATTTTAGCTTAGCAAATTCTTGTGTTGGCTTTAAAAACTATGAAAATGCTTAAAATAATCAGAAAAAATCAGAGATGCTTAATGTCAATTAATATGGGCTATCACTATAAGATTTAATCATTAAAACATAACATCAGGCTGACACCCCATCACACATACAAATTAAGAACATGCGCTGCATTATGTACCTGCTCATTTATTTATTTTGACTTTTTAAAATTAAAAGTAGTCAAGGGTTTAAAAAATATATATATAACCATGCTTAGGACTAGGGTCAATATACTTTGTTAACAACATTTGAAGTTGGTATTAAAGCTATTTTTGCTTTCCAAGTTCCCAAGCAAATTTTATTTCTAATAAAGTGAAATTCAGCTAGAAACAAGAAAAAATAGGTTTATTATTATCAATGTTTAGAGGGATATTAAAATCATTTTAATAATAAAAATCCATTTTATTTCTTTGAAGACTATGTAACCTGCCCTTCCTACTTAGGGTATTTGAAATTGACAGGCACACCTCGTTGAATTAATTTAAGAGTTAAGAATAACAAAAAATACTAAATCTTAGCTTCGGTTCTCTTTAAGGCACCATGTAATAGCCGAGGTACAATGATCCCTGATGTACATTCTTAAATGGCAATGGTCCATCTAGACACCTATTCAAATTCTATGCAATTGGGAATAAATACAGGTGAGGTGTGCCAGTTACACTACCTTATTTAATTTTTGTAAAAATTTAAAACCACAAGAATCAGGAAATAATTTGGAAAGAAAATGATGCAGGTTGCTACATTCCTTGCATTCTATAAATTATTTTTTATAAGAGCAGCAGATCGAACTACTAGTAGGAAAAGACCTGGAATCCAAAGGAAAGTCATCCAAATGGAATGTTTTCCTGTATGTCCATTTCAGCATAAGTAGCACATACACTTAAAAACAAACAAACAAACAAACAAACACACATCAAGCCACTTCTTTTCAGGTTCAGTTTTTAACAACTACAGTACCACTCAACAGCCAAAAATATCTGTGCAGTGGTCCCAAACATAGTATCAGTAGTCTTCAAAACCAGAGGAACCGGGATGCAAATAAAATTTGGAACTGTTGATTTTAAAGGAAGCTTGCATTGTTTACATGGTGATCAAATAATTAGGTATGCTTACTGTGTACACATTAGCACATTGTTACAATTTTATCATTCATTTTGCATTTGTAAATGCAGCGAAAATACTTCTTCCTTAAAGAAAGAAAACAGTAGATCTTTCCAACCCTCCAGCATTATGATAAAAATACCCCCTGAATGCTCACAATTTTATCAAAATAGTGTCTTCTAGTTCTGTTCAATGAAAAGCACCTTTTATAACAAATTTGATGCATCTGCTGTCAAATGACTCCAGCATAAATCAAATAAAATATTTATTTTGATATTTCACAGAACTGCATCTAATTAAAAACCTATGTTAATTATTCATCATGATAATGATTTCATATACATTAAAATATTTTTTTAAACTATGAAAAAATTTAAGTTACTTTAATTATAAGAAGACAAAAACATTAACATTAAAAGCTTGGCAAAAATCTTCCTTGACACTTGAAACTAGGAAATCTCTTAATATTGACTGGCCAACACAAAATGACTTTGCTTACAAAAATTTTTTTTAAACATCTGGCAAAATACATACACCCATTCCATTTCACAACTCCAATAAAAGGTAATTTTCAGCATAGCTAAAATTTGATAAGTCAACCTTCAGATCTATTCTCTTTTTCTCCCACATTAAGCCCAACATCAACAGGGCTAATGTAGTTGGGGGTGAGCCTTCAATATTAGACGGCAGTATACGTATTTCCAGTAGCACTGCATTGTCTGATAGTCTGTGTACTTGTGACAATGTGCTCATTATGAAGTGGGTTCAGGAGGTTCTGCTGTACTCCACTCTCAAGTACTGGCTGCATGCAGCCCACCTGAAATGCCTGATTTAGCTCTGTTTTCTCCCTCTTGGCTTGTGGCTCTCCAATTTCATCCAGCTCTTCTTCTATTTCACTTTCAACTTCACTGCCCTCATCTGCATAAATAAACAACCAAGAAACTAGCACAAAAAGGAAAAGTCTAAATACAAGGGCCTTTATTTTGCAAATAACATATGGAATATGAAAACACAGGGAAGTCTAGCAACCTGATAAAGTAGAAACTGAAAACTTAAGATTTTACTGGGAAAAAAATCAATAAATACTACAGACAAATAGGTTAATGAACTCTCTCAGCTTTGATCACCATAGTTGCACACTGTTAATACCAGAATTGCTTTTACTATATGCTATCTCAAATAAATATTTCTAAAAAATATTAATTTTGCACTTACAGAATGCCTTTTAACTCTGAGACTTGATAAACAAGGATTGTTACTCTCATTTTATAGATAAGGAAAATGAGGTGAAGTAACCTGCCTCAAATCATACAACCAGCATAAGAATGGAGAACAAACTAAGCCTACACTCCACCGAGAGGAAATAAACTAATTTCTTACTATATTCTTTGGTAACAATTAGCAAGTTATTTGGCAAGATTTCTGCCACATCTTCACTCATCAAAACCATCATTTATTACAGATGTAGATATATGTGCATGCTCATCGTACCTTCCTTCCACCAATTGTCCACCCCCCTCAGCTCTCTCACTAGGATATACATCAGCTAAATTGTGTGTGAAACATTGACAATTTCTTGTGTAAACAATAAACATATTTTTAAGATTTTCCTATTAAAAACCTTATCTACATTATTTTAGTCATTATTATATACTGTATATCATGTATAGTATATTGTACCCATATAATAGTAATACACAAACAATTTAAATCATGATACAGCTTTAGATTCTGCTTTACTATATTTTCAAAACAAAAGAACTTATTTTGCTCCAGGAGACACACTAGTTCTATATAAAATTATACATTTGAGAGATTAGAATGCTTACCCTTATCCATATTTCCAGGGGACGCAGCATTTAAATCACCAAACTGCAAAATAAACAATAAAAAGTGTGGACACAGTCCTACACAAACATGAGCTTAGAGTATCTATGATGGAGTCAGGACTATGCTCCAGTGGCTTGGGTGTAGTATGAAAGCACATGCATGTGACTGCAGTCACATCCATAGTAATACCAGCTCATTTTCCATGCCATCATATTCTTGTTCATATTAAGGAAATTAACATTAAAATAAAAAATCCTCAACAATTTAAACAATGAAATATAAACTTAAACATATGTTTTTAGGGTGACTTATGTCAGGGCCTTTGTTGCTTTGAGTGAGATATTTCTATGATGTAGAATGCCAGAAGATATGACTGGTATTCATTTTTAAACTGCCAATATTTTAACCAAGAGCTCTTAAAAATTCCCCTAAGACGACTGTTTATTCAGCTGGAAGAAAAATGAAGGTGCACCACTAAAGGCAGTTACAGTGTTGCAAATCTATATGTAAGGTAGATAAATGGCACTGCTGAAAATAGGGCTTATGGTTATTACAGCTTATTATGGCAACTAATTTACTTACACAAAAACAAACTGAAAAGTTGCTCACAAGTCAAAAATGCAACCTTCCTTCCTCCCTTTCCTTGTCTGAGTCCTCTATCCTTCTCGTAAATGAGAAGCAGCAGAGCATAATTTGATAAGTGAATCTCAAATTAAAGGAGTAAAATATTTAGATAAATATATTTCTAACCATACCTGATTCAGTCCTTTTCAGAAGTACAGAAAGATTAAACTGTAATTCAGCGAACACTAAACCAGCATAAGCAGCGGCAGTCCCATTCTCCCAGATTCCCTCACATACACTCCCCCTCCATACCCATCCTTTCACCATTAGTGTTCACATGGCCATGCAAAGAGCCACATGACAGAACTGACCCAAGAGAAAAATAACCAGTTTTAATCAGGTTATTTTTCATGGGATGGATTCTCTGATCCAGTTAACCACAGGACTGCCCGAGTACTTGTGTCAGCATCAGTATCCAAAGGTAGGGGGATGGGAGAGGAGGAGACCGAGAATGCTTTTCTCAGCTGCAAAACCAGTTTATGCTGGCTTAAAGTGCTTGTCAGACTAGCCTTAGTCTTTCTCATTTTATTTCAACCACAGTCAGTAAATGCAGAGAAACACAAGAAGGCATGCATTTAATGAATATTTACAGTTTCTTCCCTGCCCCCCTCTCACCTCTAAAAACCTTAGATTACTTATTTTCTCTCTAAGAACATATCCCTCTTCAGTTTACCAAAACATTATAGAAGGTCTCACAATACACCAAAAACATTACATTTAACTTATACCATATCTGTCAAGAACACAAGAATGTAGCAACATTACACTTTTGCTATACCTTGCTATAAATATAATGGCAGAGTTTAATCAAATATCCAAGCTGTCGGTGAGTCGCTAATCAGAAACATTGTCATTTATTTTTCTAAAATATGTTATATTACATTACATTAAATCATATGACAAATTAAAATGAGACTCCACATCTCTATGAAAAAGTACATCTTTTTATAATATTTAATTATAATATTTAATATATCTTGAGGGAAGAATGATATATCAAGTCATGCAAGGTGACTTGCAACTTACCAGTAAGATAAAACATGATACAATGACTGTCAAGTATGAAAACATTAACTTGTCAGGTGAACCATCTATCATATTTCCACATCTTCCAGTTTTCCAACATTTTGAAAGTATAATTCCTTGATGATAACTCATCAAGGATAATGTAAATTCTTAAGCAACTCGCACAAAATTAAAGGTTAGGTGAGCTACTGAAGAAAAGAGGCCTAAAATAAACTTTACCTTGCACATACCATAGACACATATAAGATGCACATGATTGTGAATTAAGAGGTTTGCTCTGCTTATTTTAAACAAATAAGCATTGAATTATAGGCATGAAAATATGCCATGTCCCACTCCTGCAAGCACTTCTGTGCTACTTTCATTTCATGCACATGAACAGTACCATTGGAGCCACTCTTCTGAAGTCAATGGGACTACTCACTTGTGTGAATTTTAAGTGTGTGTAAATATGTGTAAACAGTTCCCTGAAAGCAACAGTTTCTATTATTATGTTCCTTTATTATTTTCATATGAACTACTTAGTTTTCCAGAACCTAAAAAAGTAGGTTTCTACCTAGTAGGTTGACCTGTGCACTTCCCCCTCCTTTTTTTTTCAAACTGTGCCCAAACTTAGGGACCAGAATCTATATGTAGATCTCTAAATGAGCAAGCTCCTTTGCAGAAAATCAGTGTTAGAAGTCAGTGTGATTTTAGCACTCTTGGGAGGCAGGGGGGAATCAACCAAGGAAACATGGATTAAGGTATATAACTTTAGGAACCCAAATTTGAAGATGCCAAGGTGTTTGCGACTCAATCCACAACGGTTAAATGTTAAAAAAAAATTGCAGATACATATCCAAATTCATCACTAAATCCACCAATCCAGTGTCTTGCAAATTATCTTACCTCTCCCATAACTGCGATAGGTGTCTCTCCTGTTGCCTGAGCAACACGATGTTCTACTAAGTAAAACATGTACTCATCATAAAGCAAGCGGATCAGATGAAAAGAGCCAAAGCTAGCAGCACTGCGTAAGGTTAAATCTCGAATCACCATTGAGCTATTTAAATATGGAAAAAAATATTTATGAAATAAATATCACAATCCTTTAATCATTTATTCATATGGAATATGCACTTCAAGAACAATATTATTAAAAGTAATGCTATCCAAACACATCTGATTTATTGTGTCTTCAGAAAGTGTCCAGGAAAGGCAAATATTTGCCTCTCCCCTTTCTCATTGTTGGAGACCACATTACACAACTAGTAGCTAGATTTTCAAAAAGACAGGAAGAGTTTTGTTTTGGGGTTTTTTTTGGTATATGCACAATTACCAATACGTGAGCACATGTAAAAACTGACCTTTGTGGAAGAAAGTTCTTTGTTAAAAACATAAACAATAAAATTGATGTTGTGGAAAAGATCATTTAATTTTAAACAAAGTACTCCTTCAAAATATAGTGCCTGTTGTGCTCACATTCCCAGTACAAAGGTTTTTTGATATGATTTTTAAACTTGCAAACTTTAAATTATGCAAAAATAAGCTTGTGATGTTATAATGGACAAATGCAGATTGTAGATGAAAACATACATATGATACCCTCAAAAAGTAGATGCTACAACATATAATTTTGAAATAACTAGCTTTACTCTGATAACTGATACAGTAGCAGCTGACATGGAATATTTGTCTTTATGTTCTTTTTACACGTAAGAAAAGATTTTGTTTTCCCTAAATAATAAAAATAGAAGCCATGACATTTTAATAAATAGTGTTAAGAATATTGGCTTTAAAATTGTATAGCTATTCAACACAAAGGGTTTCATAGCGTGTTTCCAACTTGGAATAAATGCATAATCTCATTATATTTGCACAAGGCCTTTAAAATAAAATACAAGAAACATTTCATTCATTGCGGAGTTGCACGTAGCCATGAGTTTAATGTTAACAATGCTAATTTTTCTGGAAAAAAAAAGGCTCTTCATTCCTTGGGAACTATTGTCTGATCTTAATTTTGTTAACATTATTACAACATACAGTTCAGTAAATAATTAAATAGTTAAAATATTTTAGAAGACTATTAAGTACTACCTGTAGAAAGACCATTTTAAGAGAAATTGCCGTGCTGCTTTAGGAAAGCTGGGTCTTCCTTCATATGGTTTCAATGCTTGCATCATTACATTATCGAGCCAGGCAGCCCACTGCTCCAGAGTGCTCTGCTGCTGAAGAGTCATCTTGAAGTCTGTTTCTAGTCTCTGAACCATGTTGTCATCACACTGGCACACCCAGGAAGCCTGCTCCTGTTAAAACACATGGCAAACATGAAAGCAAAACACAAAATGTAAATTATTCTTAAAGATTGAACAATTAAATGAAAAGGATGAAATACACTTACTAAGCAAACTAACGAGTATTTTTATTTTCATGTCTCTTTCAATTTTGTTGGAAGAAAATGAGAGTAAGGAACTCAAAGTATAAAACCAGGTATCAAATAAAGTGCTAAAATAAAATAAAATGGAAAAAAAAACACAAATACATTGCAATTTTTCAAATTAATTTTCATGAAAAAAAATCAACTTCATAATTTTTTCTAGCAAAATTTTCAGGAATTGTCAGGTTTCTTGGGACTACAGGCACAACAAGTGGAAAAGGCAGTCAAATGGGAGTTGAGAGAGTAATAAACAAAGAGGAACCAAGAAACCAAAGCATCATGTTTGCTCTTGCTTTGAAGGAGTTGAGACCAAAGACAATTTCTGTTACATTTTTAATCATCTCACTTAAAAAAAAAATTTTGTTTTGTAGGCAAAAAAGAGTTGTTTTGTTTGCCCATAGGCTGTAATATATTATACATTGCTTAATGAGTAATATAATTTGCACACAAATGGACAAACAGTCCATGTACAATAATGAGGAATTCAGTCTTGCTGTTATCGTGGAAGGTGATTACATTACTTTTTAAATTTTAAATAAGGCCAATAGGACACTTCTGTTGGATGAAACTTGGAGAAAACCAATATCGAATTACTACAGGCCATATGCTTAAACTCTGGCTATCACATGCCAAGTTAACATTTCAACATTCAGAGAACCTGTATCTTAACACAGAACAATATTTAATATACCATATCTTTGGTCACGTACTAGATCTTAGGTAGTTTATGCACCATTATGCAATATAACTAATACTATACTAATGATATTGTCTTTAAAATAAAAATAAATTTAATGAAACAATCTCTACTAGAAATAGTGTTGTATGATTAATAGTTTTTTTTAATGGAAGATCAGAAGCTATGTTACTATCCAAGATTTCATCTTCAGGTATCATTCATGCTGTTCATTCTAAGAACACACGTAGTTTACACTGTCATTTGCATTAAATAAAGATTGGCAGAACACATGGTCTGATCATTTTCTCTTCAGAGAAAATAGAAATAGATAATGGCTTTGAGGTTTTACTTTCCTTAAGGCTAAAGTGTAAGCTGGCAAGTTTGTATTGAATCACTGCATATACAAAATCAGTAAAATATTCTCACTTTGCTTTCTTGATGGAATAATAAGAACTAATGATAAAGTTAAAAATTTGGGGGGAAATAGCACTTAAAAAGAGCCTGTTGCTTAAAGCCACAGTTTACCTGGACATTGGCAAAATCAACACGGTTGAGATCATTGAGCATCTGGTTGATCTGAGAAGTGTTTTGAAGCACAGCACGAGCTGCCTGAGCCAGGTGATTAAGAGATGTGTATCTTCGCAGAGTCTGGGCAAAGGCACTTACAGCAGCAACCTATGAAAAAATCCATTTATCTTAACATTGTACTCATCATCACCTGATCCCCTGATTCTTCTACCTTCATGTTAATATTTCTGTATTAATTTATGAGCACTCAGATGTTGTAACTCATATATAATAAATAATGTTTTCCCTATTAATTTTTTCGTCAAAAAAAGTTATTTTCTATCCTGTTTTTTCATGTTTGAAGTTCAACCTAAACATGACATTTAGCATAAAAGTTAAAATGCTGCTACTTTTAGATTTTAATGTCATTCAGTGTGCTGTTGCATAAAGTGAAGAAAACTGCAGTAAGCTTTGTTTACCTTGGTTTGTGTCATTCTCTGTGGAATATTGTTCATGGCACTGGAAAGCCAACCTTCAAGGCTTTTTGCAAAATTGCGAATGGCTTGGGTCAAGGCACCTAAACATTAAAGAATAAAAATAGAATTAAAAAGGTGGCAAGGTGCCTGTCTTAAAATCCTCAATACTTATATATCGCACATTAAGATCTGCTGCATTTATTGTCTCGTAGACTTATCCAGTTTAGGTTTGTAGCCCCCTCCCCCCAAGGAAAAAAGGATGTTGATAAACCAAAGTAAGTTCAGCAAAGGACCACTGAGATGGTCAGGGGCTGGAGCATATGCCCTACAAGGAGAGACTGAGGGAACTGGGATTGTTTAGCCTGAACAAGAGAAGGGTTATGGGGGGACCTAATAGCAGTCTTCCAATATGTACAGGAGTTCATCAAGACGACAGCCAGGCTCTTCACAGTGGTGCATGGCAGGAGGATGAGAGATGCTTGGTATAAACTGAAACAAAAGAGGTCCTGACTTGATAGAAGGAGGAGCTTTTTCACCATGTGGACAGTCATGCAGTAAAATAGGTTGCCCAGAGAGGCTGTGCAGCCTCCATCACTGGAGGTTTTCCAGATCCAACTGGATAAAGCCCTGATCAACCTGGTCTGAATTCAGTATTGACCTTGCTTTGAGCAGGAGGTTGGACTAGAGACCTCTTGAGGTCCCTTCTAACCTGAATTATTCTATGGTTCTATGTTGCATAATAATGTAACAATTATTTTGTTTTTAATTTAAGTAGCAGAAATGTCCTCTTAAGACTCTTTCAAGAAACATATTATCAGTAGTTATACAACTTGAGTAATCAACAAATCCCATTATTATTAATAACTTCTGCTAGCAAAGTTAGTCAACTCGCTTAAAATTAAGAAATATTTTGTTCTTCACAGCATCCTTTCTTCAAATTTGTAGTGGTAACCAGTAGTAGGTACTGTTTATGTAACTGCCCCCAAATTTGGATGCTCATCTGAAATTTAATTTGAACTTACAAAATTTCTGTATTAGACCCAGGAGATCTCCCATCTCAGTCCAATGGATGCAGCTGCTGCTGT